CGGTGGGCTTTATTCTCATGGTCTCTTCACAAAGATTAGAATAAAACAAGAAAATTAATCTGGGCTCTAAAATGTGATTTAAAATGTAATATACAGTACTCTAATATTAGGGGTTTTGGTATTATGTCTGTTTGAAAATATTATATGATGTTTACATGGTAAAGGCTATTTCCTTACAGTTAGTTTAGACTTAGTAAGCTACTGTTTTTTCTCTGAAGTATACCAGAGACCATAATTTATTTTTAATTCATATTCAGAAGTCGAGGTTTTAGTATTAATAAAACCATGCTTAAGCCTTGCCTGCACTAAACCTTTTTTACTTAATTTCCCACCTTTACACTTGCTGCAGCTTTGTGGTTGGTAGCAACAGTGGTTACACAAGAGCAGCAGCCAGGGGTTTAACTACTGCATCATTTCTGCTTGTCCTGAGTAGTCTTTAATAATGCAGTAGTAAAAATGGAAGGCAACCTCTTCTTTGTGCTACCCCTGGTAAACATAATGGTGAGAATTTAAGGGAAAATAAATCCTAGTGTAGTTACAGCCTTAGATGCAATCGGGTGGAGTTAATTTCCTGTTCTGTTGGTAAGACAAAGTTGGCTTGACCAAAGGAACACTTTTCTCCACCCCAGCCCCTCCCCAGAACAACCTGATTTAGCCAGGGGGAGGAGTTAGTCACAGTATGATTAAGATTTTGGCACTCTTAATTTAAATCATGCTTTCACTTAACAGGAAAGTGAAGTTAAATTAGATATTTTAATAAAATTGTTACAGTAATTAAAACGTTTTATTGTGTAAGCTGAATTTGACATAGGTTAAAAATTATCAGTGTATTACTCTGTTAGAATGAAATCTAATCTGTGACTAAATTTGATCATGTTATGTCTGAAACAGTTATATGGTAAAATTTGTAAAATGTCGCTACATAAAAAAAATTTAAGATGTCGCTTTGGTAGGGAATCATGTTGACCTACTGTCTAACTGGGCTCTTAGTAGTGAGTCTTTTATTTATTAAACTAAAATGCTCTACAGGGCAATAAATAGCAGGTTTTAAAATATTATTAAAGAATTATTTAAAGGACTTGCCTCATAACTTATAGCCAAAGGTCGTAAGTTTGCTAGTACTTTTGGCGTGAAGGATCTTTATCTCTAGTTTTTTTTGCTACTGAAAATTATGTACATTTACCTAAGAATAGGATTTATAAATAATGGCAATGCCTACAGAATTTTATGGTACAAAATCAACAAGTATGTCATATGCCTGTTCAATGAAAAACTTGTCAGATTTAGGTATGAGATCCTGTTTTATATAACTTAAATATAGGTGTTTTAGAATAATACTGTTTTACTAATCTAAAAAGCATGTTGCATTTGAAAATAAGCTTGGCTTGGAGGACTGTGGTGTCTTCATTCTATTCTAAGGTCTTCCACCAACAGTGCCTCCCATCAGGATAGAAAAGAAATGCACTCCCTTTTAGAGAGAAGGAACTGGACACATTTTTCTGACTTTTTAGTTTGTTAAACGTCTGACTGACTGTTTTTTTTTTCTTTTGGGATTTTTTAAATTTCCTTTATACTGATAACGTTTTTTAAAGGAGCTGCTAGGTAGATATTTCAGTATTTAATTTAAACTGGATGTAGGAAAATTAGTTGGGAATTAATCCAATATATTATTTTTAAAATACTTTAAGGGCCTTAGCTGGTATGAAATACAGTGCATACTTGTTACTTGGAAGAATAACAGGACTTGGATTGCCCAAAAAGCTACTATTCACAGGCTGAAAATTCACAACTTTAGTTGCCCTCACAATCTTAGCTTAAACACTACTTTGAGTACACAGGCCTCATTCTGCTTGTATCTCTTAAGGGCTTTGGTATATTCCTTGCAAAAGTGTTACCATTTAATATACAGTGCCTTTCACTTGATTCAAACGTTGATTCTTCATTTAACTTTCTCAGGTTCAAAAGCCAGATAATTATACTGAAAATACTGTCAACTTTTTTTTTCAATCACTGGAGGTGATGATTGTGGGTTATAAAAACTTGTAATCCAATAAGGCAAAAATTCTGAATGAGAATAGAGCCCAAAGAAGATAATGAAATGAAATGTATTTTAAAGCTATTTTATTCTTAAAACAGTGTTGGAAAAAAATGAGCACTAGCATATGTCACATTCTGTATTATGGTGTTTCCATTTTAAATTACAGGATTATTGACTTGGATTAAGAGGTAGGCACTGTATTTTATCTTGAAAAACCCTTTAAGGTTCAAACTAATGCACTGATCACTGTGCTTGAAAAAGACAGGAATATGAAGATTGTACTGTGAAAACTGTCAAATCATTTTCTTAAATTATTTATCAGAATTAATGAGTTTTAGATTTTTTTGTAATGTGTTAGCTAAAACAAGAGGCTAGTAAGCTGGTTCTGCCCCCTCCCCCCACCTCCTCCCCAAGAAATACAAACTAAGGCTATATATTTTATCTTGGTAGACTCTAAATGGATTTTTGACAGTCCTGCATTGTAGTATTAGCATGCAGGGAAACCGCTGTCAATGTTTTTTAGATGATGGGACAGACTTCTGAATTTGAAATTTTGAATGTATCTAATTGGTGAAGGTACACAAAACTGTGCCTTTGTAAATGTTTATTTAAACAGGTGGTTTTGAATAGCTTACGTTCTGGAATGGTGTAATGTAGCAGAGCTTAAGAACGCAGTTATTACTTTGTGTGGAAAAGTTTGAATTGTCATGTTACTGTGTAATTGACTTGCTTTAAAATGAACAATAAATTTAATAAAATAAAGCCATTGTCTTGTTTTTTATCTACTTAGTGTTCATTTAAATTTGGATAAAAATACTCAAACCAAGTAGCTTTGAAGGTTTCTAGTTATTAAATGTATTCTCTCTTGGTAACATGATGGTTTAGTCATGTTAGTGTCAGTTCTTGTTTTTAATTGGACTTGACACTAACAATGACTTCATGGTTTTAAGTTTCTCCCTTTCCTTCTCTGCTTTCATTTAAAATAAGTAGCACAATACTTTCACCTCTAAAAGTAGTCCTTGCAAAATTTTAATTAATAGTAGAAATTTTTCTGTGATGAAATTGATTGAAATGAATGAATGAAAAAAATAAATATATATACACACACTATGATACTGTAGTTTTCAGTAGATGCATTGTATGTTGTGTTCAGCGTTTTCTTAGATTTACCAGGTGGACATAGAGGCAGCTTGGGGAAGAATTTTCATGAGGTAAAGTTTGGGGGCTCTAATGGAATTTGTTAAAAAGCAATGATGTTCTTTTATCAAATAATTACATAAAGGTTCTATTTATCATGAAAGAGTAAGGCAAGTTTGTTTTCATTTTTTTCATACCAGGGCCACAGCCATCTCTGGGAGTTAGTTTTGGAACACCATTCGGCTCAGGTATTGGCACTGGCTTGCAATCAAGTGGCTTAGGTTCTTCAAGCCTTGGAGGTACACTTTAACTTTTTTAATATTTCATTTAATTACTATACAGCACATCTGAATTTTAAAAAAAATCTTAAACTTTACTAAGAGGATAATCTGTTTCCAAGCTACATCTTCAGTATAGCAAAAAATGTTTTTTGTTTCCAAACTCCTTGATGCCTGGTAGAGAGGCTGGGGAAGATGAACCACAAAAGTTAGATCTAAGTTTGATATGGCTTGTAGACCTTAAGGTGAAAGGGAGATGGACATAACATAAACATGTGGAGATCAGATTTTTTTTAAACCATAGTACATCACCTGTGACTTTTTGTTAATAGGTATTTGAATTCAGCTGTAATTTAGTTATGATTTTTAAAGTAACTGTAAGACCTTAGGTACCTATGTCTCATTCAGTTCAGATTTGAAATTTACATTCTGTTGTTTATCGTTAACTTTGTCTGAGAAATTTCACCAGTGCTCGCCCAAATTCTAAATCTAAAAATTCTTTTTATCTTCTCATGACATGAGTTTAATAAGGCAAACTATTAGAAAAAATACCCATTTTGCACTTATTTTAGGAACTTGTTTGTGAAATTATAATTAAGCTTTTCTCTTGGCTTTCCAGTACAAAACTGAGCTTTATGAAATATGCGTCTCCACAAATCTGTGAACAATCATTATCAACTGGATTGTAAATATGACAAGAGAACTCATGCTTTATGGGCACCTGTAGACCTGCAGGATGCCTGCTCCGACATGGTTAATTACAGTACGTTGGAGGAAATGTGCTAACTAGCATGCTGCAGTAGCCTCGGCATATCATGTATTCAACGTCCCCATGCTTCAAAATGGCAGCAGGGGTGCTTTACCTAAAGTTTGTTGAACGAGCTTTAGTTAAAGTGCCCCTGCTGCCATCTGGAAACACAGAACACTGAATACATGAGACACTGTGGCGATTTAGTAAGAGCTGCTCTCAGGAGCCAGCTGTATTGCATCCTAAACAAATCTGAACTGTAATCTCAAATTGTAAACTTTTTTAGAATAGTCAAATTGCTGCAATATTCATTGCAATCACATGACTAAAGTGTGCCTTATGTGCCTAAAACAAGAAAAATAACTAAGCTACATAGCAGCTTAAAAGAAGTCTTATAGGAAGCACTTCCCATAATGTTCTTGGGTTTTATAAAAACACAGGGGAAGGCCGTTTCCCTCCCCCAACGAGTTTTTATAATTTGTTCAGAATATTCTTTAGATGTATAAATTACAGAAGCTTATTGCTAGCAAATTTATGAAACTTAAACTCTGTTTAGATATTTGAAGCCTTTGATTTTGGGATGGAGGGGTTGGTAATACTTAAGGAGGCACTTTTCCCCTATTTTTTGCATATCAAGTTGTAAAATCCTGATTTCTTTTATGTGAGTGCAATATATGGGATTATGACAGATCATGAAGAATAATTTTAATGGCAAAATCCTGATACAGTTTGGGGGAGAGGAGAAGCAAAAGTTCGCCTTGAAACGAAACGAACACTTCAAAAATTCAGAAATTTTAAATCGAGATGCATTTAAAAAAACATTTTTAATTGCATACTCTTCAAAATGCATTTTTTGAGGGACCTTGCTCCCCATCTTTATTATGGATGGCAGTCACGTTAGAAGATTAACGGGTGAATTTCTGTACTTCTGATGTGTAAATTGTCTGCTTCTTCACAATTTAGAAGAGTTTGTTGTGATGGCCCAGATACCTTTCTAAGTCGTTCAGAACTCGTTTAAAAACTGGGTTGGACAAGAAATTGGAACGTATACTACAGTGAACGCTTTTTTATATTCATGCAGCATGTGACATTGTACATAGCTATACAATTTATTATTCATATTTATCACATGTAAATTATTTTCTCTTTCTGATTGTTAAATATTTTTGTTTTGAGGTTAGTCAAATTGCTGCACTATTTGTTGCGATCACATGACTAAAGAATACATTCCAACTGACCTTTTACTATCAAGTTACATTTCCATTAAGTGCTTCTAGTGAAATGTTAGTTTTTCATTAAGAACTTACCATGATATGGTCATAAAACTAAATTTGACCAAATTAGTTTAATATAAGTATTACTTGTTACCATGCTCAAACTGTAAGAGCAGGAGAGACTTTTAATATTAAAAATTAGAGAGTTGTAGCTCATATTTTTGATCTTGGGCAAAGTTTTTTGTCCAGTGCAAGTGGGCTTATTTCTATTTGACTTGTATTGGAATCTAAGGACTTATCATACAGAAAAGTCAGGTTTTAAGCCAGAGCATTTCCATTCCGAGTTTGGGAGTCATGTACTAAATTTGTTTTAAAACTGTGTTTTGGTTCAAAAAGTAGGACAATTTTCTGATGTAGACAAAGTCTAACCTTACTGGAGCCAAGTTCCTAGGCTAGTCATGTAACTTAAAAAAAAATTGATTTAAGTTTTATCCATTGGTATGATGTTACATGATGGACTGACATCATATCACTGAAATTCCCCTTTTTAATAGTAAATAGAATAACATGGTTATGAACGCAAACATTTCCATTTAACTGTAGTTATTTACTGTTCAGTAAGATCATGTGACTTTACAGTTAGGTGAGATCATTCAGTATCTCATTTGTAAATGAAATTTACTAATAGCTTAACATTCTCAACTGCTTTTCTGTTCATGGATTCCTGTTTTCATGCAGAAATTAGTGCAGGTTGCATTTAGAAAGTTTCAGAAGCAATATAAATTTACTGAATAGTAAGTTTTATGCAAGTAACTTTAAAACAAATTAAATCCTAAAAGCTTAATACTTTAAATTGCTGTGTCTTCGTTACCAGTTCTTTTACATTACATTTCTTTACTACTATCCTAATAGGATTTGGAAGTAGTTCTGCTTTTGGAAGCAATGCTACAGGCTCATCATCATTTGGATTTGGAGCTACAAATAAACCCTCAGGAAGTCTTAGCGCAGGTTTGTTTTTAACTGAATTCCAATTTGTTTTTCTTAAATACAGGTGCATAATTTAACTTCAGGTATCACAAATCTTGCAACACATTTTAAAATAGTAATTGCAATAAGGATCCAATGTTTTAAGTTTCCTTTACAGTATAACTGTTTAAAATATTTTCTCAAAAAATTAATATTAGGAAAAGTTTAAAAAAAAATCCTAATTTTATACTGTTCCCCTAAAGGAAATGGGAATTGTCCCATGGAATGGCATCTCCCATTTAGAAAATCAGATTGACTCGCATATTGAACTACCTTTCTTCTATTTCATACTGTTATTTTGACTACTTCCTGCTTGCAGCTCATTCTATTCTTGATGTTATGCTTTGTTTTACTAATTTCTTAATGATAAAATCAATACAGGCTCTTAATCCAAACTTCCCAAATTTTTTGTACTTGAAATTTGGATATGAATTCTGCAGTTGGAAACCATATTTAAATTTCTGATTATTTTATATAAGCCAGTTCAGAAAGGGATTAGACAAATTCATGGAGGACTGGTCTATTTGGAGAAGAGTTGGGATTGTATCCTTTTGACATCCCTAAACCAATGATGGTTGATGCCAGGAAGGGCATGACAGTAAATGACTTGCTCTAGACATGCCTTTTATATATTCTTTCTGAAGTATGTACTGCTTGCTACGATCAGAGACAGAATACATGAACCATTGGTTTGACCAGGATGGTACTACATATGCTTTTAATAGGCTTTAGTTGGATGTGGGGTTTGTTTTCCTCCACTGTTTATTTAATAGAAACTTAAAGATGATCATCTTCCAGGGTGAGTTTTAAAAATGTGCTTATTATTTTTGTCTAAGTACAATGCATTAAGAATGAATGATTTTCAGTAACACTGAAGAAAAAGGTTGTTGGTTTTCCAAGTGGAACTCTAACTCATTTATTTTTGCCAAATGCTCCATGTGCTAATTTTTGCCACCTGTCTTGATTAATCCAGAATTAATCTTTCAAATAAGGCACAAACAGTATTTAATTTTTTAACAGTAAATTACAAAATTGAAATAAGCTAATGCTCATGGATGCATAACGTCTTGGTGCATAATGTCCTGGTGCTACATATCATATCTGTAGTTGAATCTGCAAAATTTGAACTCCAGCATTCTTCACGTTTGGTAACTAATGTAACATTTGTAATGTCGGGGATAAAGTAAACACAATTAAAATGTTTTAAAATGATCTTGTAGGTTCTTGCCTTGTGAGTTGAAATACGTTTATTAATTGATGTTTCCTGTACTAGTGCTATTCAGTTTAAAATTTAAATTTTATGAAATGTGAAACTTAATCTTTTGTCTGCAAAGTTTAATCTCCCTAGATTTGGAAAGAATATATAAAATAAAGGTATAGAAAGCTAAAACAATGTAATACTTTAAGGTTTGTTTGTTTGTTTACTGTATGCTAAAATCCTGATTCAGGCACTTAGAAACTTCTGAAGCAAGTAGTTTTAAATTGGAACCTGGATAAAGTGGTACACTAATCAATTATGCTGTTGTTCAACTTTCATTATGTTCTATGTGGGAGATAGTAAGGATTACAAAATTCCAGGTAATTTTGATAGCCCATAAATAAATTGACCCTTTCCACGTTTGCATTCCTGTGTCACATGGCCTCTGAATTGAATGTGATTTAAAAAAATATACCACATCTTGTGTATTAATTCTTTTTTTCTGGTATTGTTACAGCAGCGCTAAACAGAAACCATTGTTTTGTAGTATCTTGCAATACTTTGGTAATGACAATTTCAGCAGCCTTTTGTTTATCAGATTGCTTGCAAATATTACTCGGAACTTCTTTCTGGTGGTACCTGTACCTCCCTAGGCTTTCTGACTGACAACCAACTTTAGACCTTTATAATATACTATCCACTAGTTAAATTATTTTTAATTGTAGGATTTATAGTCTTTCAAAATGAAAATATAGGTGTTCCCTAGTTAGTTCTTTCCTCACTTTTTTTTTAAACATACGCTGCTTGTTGTTCCAACGATTGCCAATATTAACTAAAAGGTAGGCAGGTCAGAATGTTAGCTAGTTAATGTTAATTCCCTGTAAGCTCCCCTTCACTTATCTTATAGTATTGATGCAAATTACAATTGTAATATTCCTCTTATGTTTTGTACCATTATCTTTGCTTAAAATGGCAGATTCAAGACCCTGGGGCTTCAAGTCCTGTCCATGCCACGGTGGTTTCATTTTACTTGATGGCAGCCATGGCTGCTATTTTGGGTTTTGGGGGGGTCAGTTTGTTTGTTTTGTTTTGATGACACTGCTGTTTCATACACCATTCTTTTAAACTAAAAGATCTAGGGACACTTAGCTAAAGTTACATATCACTCAGTTAATGAGAGACTTCCGCTTTAAGAAACAACTTCCATTTTGGAGGTTGACCCTTCTCCTAGTTGGCAGATCTCCCCCTATGTGCAGCACTCACAGTTGGTAGTAGCTGTACTAGTGGTGCAACACTATTGGACAAGGACTTGGGACCATCAAAGACTACCCTGACACTGAAGACCACTACCAAAGCAAGATAAAGGTGACTGCCTCTCACCAAAAGGGAAAGCTTAAACAATAACATTTTTCCTGAAGTGAAGTGGCTCAAATCTGACTTAATGAAAAAGCACAGGGTACCGATTGATACTGGAGTTGTTTTGAGATGACTATAGCTTTAATAATACTAGCTAACATAATGTGAGAGAAGCATAGCTATACCTGTAGAATTGCCCATGATATCAGTGTCACTATGTTTGGTGCTGGTATGCTTCTTTGACCCCTTGGTACACCAGTCTGCTTAAGATCCATACTGTTTGTGTTAGAAGTTGTATTGTCATCTTAACTGGGGGGGGGGGATCTTTTCCTCACAGTATAAGAGAGAGTGTTCACTTTTTTCATGTAGTTAAGAAGCCTTCTCCTGACCAACCAGGAATGCTTATTTCTGAGCCTGGACTCATTCATCTTGGGTGTTGGACCAGTGTGGTCTGTCTTACCAGAGTCAGTCTTAACCATATATTCACCTTGCTCCTGCTGGACATCCCAGTGATATCTGTTTCAGGTGTCAAGTTGTCAGCCTCCATCTTATCACTGGAAAATATAAAGTTCATGTTTTCCTTTTGCTTCAGTTGCTAAACCAATGTCCACAAACAGGAAGGAGTAAAGATAGTTTGCAGAGGTGAAGCAAAAAGGTTTAGAGCTTCCAGAGCAATGTCTTTCATCCTATATGAGACTGTTGCAATCTTCTCTCAATGATAGTCTTCTCCTTGGCTCCTGTGCCATGTCCAGATGCTCTTTTAGAGCCTTCCAGGCACTGTTCTCTCTCACAGAGACTCTTAGAGAGCTTAACAGTTGCCTCTCACAAGTATTTCATGTGCCCACCCAATATCAAGTTTGTTGGTGGCTTCTGTGGCTAATAAGATAATTCAGCAGTTTTTAAAGTATGCTATAAGACAAGGAACTGAAGCAATTAGATTTCGTTGTGCAGAAAAAAAGAACTTCCGTGTCAGAATCACTCCAGCTATAATTAACCACCTATCAAGTCTCTGGGTAAAATATCCTCCTTTCTGGGCTGAGCCCCTCAGGACTCCAGAGAAGAGTTGAAAGCCATCAAGGCAGAAACTTACCTGGAATGGTGTAGTCAGGGACAGTCCTGCCTTGAGCACAGGGTTGGACTAGATGATATCCTGAGATATCTTCTAATCCTAATTTTAATTCTATGCCAGCTAGGGAGAGAGACCTCTTAATCAGCAGTTATGGATGCATTGGCCACTGCAGCAACTATGCTTGGAGCCTTATGGTTGCAGGCCTTCAGCATTTCTCAGGAGTGCAGAACACTGTTGTGGACATGCCCCATGAGGGTGCAGATTAGTTGGCACATACAGATGATGTATTACATTCCTTGAAGGACTTCTAGGTACAAGCTTTACCCATTGTGCACCTATAGCTTAGCCCTGAATTGCACACGAGCTTTGTAAATTCTAACCAAATTATCATAGGAAAGGAGGGTTGGAAAGAACCTCAAAAGGTCATGTAATGCAGCCCCCTACTGAAGGCAGGGAGATGATAGCAGTCTTTAAATAGCTGAAGTACCGCCACAAACAAGGAAAACACCTTTTCTCTTTTCCATGCAGAGAGTGGGACACAGATCAATGACTTGAAGTTGCAGCAAAGTAGGTTTAGATTGGATATTGGGGATTTTTTTTCCGTTGTTAGAACTGTGTGGTAGTGGAGTAGACTGCCTAGGGAAGTTGTGGAACCTCCATCATTGGAGGTGTTCGAGAAGAGGTTGGATAAGCATTGGCCAGGTATGATCTAGGAGCAGTTATACCTGTGTTCTGCTATGGGCATTTCCCATGTTTCTGGGCTGTCTTGGCAGCTGCATGAGGCTGGGAAGGAATTGTTCCCTTCCTGCTGCTACATGTATGTGGGAGTGTGCAGGAAGGGTGTTTTGCCCTCCTTGGAGGCATTGGGGAGTTGGCTGTACCCAAGAGTGGGGTTTTGCCAGCATTTCTCCTAGGGCTGAAACATGGAGATTCCTGGCTAAGGAGTGGAGATTCCAGACAGACTGCTGTACTTGGGGTCAGGAAAGAATTTTACCCTATGGGCAGATTGGCATGGACTGGGGGGGAAGGGGGGTTGCATTACTTTGTAGCACGGGGTGTGGCCCTCTTCCTTGAATCTCTCAAGTATATAACAGTCTTTGCAGCAGTAGGATGTTTGCTGCCATGGTCCCCCTCCTTTATCTGTGGCAGTTTAGGGTGTTTATCTCTTGTGGTTATGTCAAGTTTGACTCTGTATTTTTGTGAATAGGTTAGACAATGGATTTGTATAGGATGGTTTGGATAGATGGGGATGATCCTGCTTCAGGCAGAGCGTTGGACCAGATAATCTCTGGAGGTCCCTTCCAGCCCTACTTTTCTATGATTTTAAGGCAGGAGTGTCCCTGACTAAATTATCCCAGCCAGGCAGGTGTCTGTCTAACCTGCTCTTGAAAACTTACACAGATGGAGATACCAGTTTCTCTTGGTAATCAGTTCCAATGCTTGACCACTCTCAGTCAGAAAGTTCCTCCTAATCTCCAACCTAAATTTCCCCTGTTAAAACTTGAGGCCACTGCTTTTAGTCTTGTCCCCTACAAGCAATGGCATCAAGTTTCAGTAGGGGAAATTTAGGTTGGAGATTATTCTGTGGAATGAATGCTTGCACATTCAGTTTCAGTTTAAAGGAATTGCTCGCTCTCTCTCTCTTTTTTTTTTTTTTTTACTGTAGCAAAATTCTCTAAACTATTGAGATTTTTTTCCCCCAAAAGCAGTCTCTTCACAGATACTGTGTCTTCTACTGTGATTCACAGAAGTTTAGGGCTGGAAGGGACCTCATGAGCTCCAAAGGGCTTTTTTAAACATCTAAAACTTAGCAAGGATTAGATTAGGGCCTGTCTCATACATTAGGAATACGTGACAGTGTTGTCTAATCTATAGGGCACAAGACTAGGAACTCTGTTTCCAGCTCTGCACTGACCAGTCCAAGTCACTTTCACCTCTCTTATGTTTCTGCTTCTCCTCCACCCCTTGTTTGTCTTGTCTATTTAGATTGTAAGCATTTAGCACAGGCACTATCTCTGTATAATGCCTTGCATAGAAGAGCCCCAGTCTCAGTTGAGCTAAACAAATTAGCTATCACCCTATAGGGTGTTAGTAACCTATAGGTCTACAGTACTTCAGCATCTCACCTACTGCAGCAGGTCTAAAATATATTGGTAGTGTGCCATAATATTTTGGATTCACATTAATATCTTCAGAGTAGGGCAGCTACTAATAATTAATTAGTTTTCATTCATATATTGGAGGGGAAATGTCTGAAATTATTTAAGTTTGACTTCTGACTTAAAATTTTCCCTCCTTTACAAGGCTTTGGCAGCTCGAGTACATCTGGGTTCAACTTCAGCAATCCTGGCATCACAGCATCAGCTGGTCTGACATTCGGGGTGTCTCATCCTGCAACTGCAGGGTTTGGGACAGGAGGGCAACTTCTTCAGTTGAAGAAACCTCCAGCTGGAAACAAGAGAGGGAAAAGATAAACGTGCTGTTGGGAAGGGGGAAGCAAATCAACTTTGATCCTAAAAATCTATTTTTCTAAATTGATGCAGTAAATAAATTGCATCCTAGGAGATTTATAAAATTTTGCTACTTTTCCCTATTCTGGAATATGAAATGTAATCATAATGAACAGTTATTTTCCTGTGAATAGAAACCCATTTATGTATTTTTATTTTTGTTCCTAGTTTTAGAAATGTTCTATACTGCATTATTAAAGAATCTTGGAAAACCATGTATTTAACCTAATGTTACTAGCAGAATATTTTTTGTTAATGAGCTTTATATACCATATGAATATATGCATATTTGTTTTTTGTACAGATAAACTATATTCTAGTACAGATGCTAGAGTTCATATCTTCTGTTCCTGGATATGGCCTTTAAATCTACTTCAGGGTCTTTCTTTGTGTATATGGATGTAACTATATACAGTACAGTGCGCACACTTGTGTGTATGTATGTGTATATATAATAAAAACAGGTGCAAACTTTGCCCCATGAAAAATCTACAATTTTTCTTTTCTTTGGGTATACCTTTTCCATGTTCTAGGTTCCCATCTCCCATTGCTCCTGAGAATATCAAATAGTGGTCCCAGGCTGCAATATCTTTACAGCCTTTTAAAAAGTTGAAATGTATACTACTGTGTAACTATAGCAAATAATACTCCATTGCCTGTTTTGTCTTCAGCATCTTCCTTTCCCCATTTAGCACCCAACTCCAAAGAAGAATCTGGAGAGCCTTTTGGACAAAGGTGTTCCACAGATAATGTTCCTAAACCAATCTCTCCTGGGTTTAGCAGCAATTCTGGTTCTGCTGTGATACAGGAGCAAATTCAAGATTAAGAGACTGACTTGGAGGCAAAGAGCTGTGAATGTGATGGTCTCTTTCTCTACCATTAGAGTAGAGTAAGAGTAGCCACTCTTACTGAAAACCATAATTTAACCATTCCAAAACAGAGTTGATTCACTAGCCGAGAGGCTGCTAGTTGGAGCTGTTAGCATTGACTCCAGAAGGAGTTGCTTACATGCCCTTTGCACCAGGTATAGCACAATAAATAGCTGCTAAGGAATAGAGCAAAACGTTGTAATTTGAGGGCTAAGCTATTGCAGAAGTAGAACTAGGAGGGGTCTCTATATTATGGCATCTGATATGTTGGGCTGCATCTCCAACTCTGCACGTTCTAGAAAAGAGCAGGAAAAAAACTTACGGAGATACTGCTTTATGTGAGAGAGATGCCAAATCAGTCTGATTTTTGCAAAATCAGGATATCAGGTGGAATGTGTGTGTGGAATTTTGCAGATCTGTTGCTTTTTATAGGGAAGATGTTTTGTATATAACATGCATCAAGTGAACATTCAGAATCACTTGCATCCAGGCACCTTTTTTTCTAAAAACAGATACAATGCATAAAAAATTTCTAGTATGAAGTCGGTTGCTTTCAATTGTAAGTGTTGTTGAGAACCATTTTGTATGTTCTGGAAGTGATGTCTGCACACAGCAGTGATTGGCCTTTGACAAATGTACAGTTTTCTGTTTCTTTTGTGTTCAGAAATAAGGGAGTCCGTTTTGAGCACAGAACTTTCCACTTTTGTACATGTGTGTTATTGCATCTCTAATGTGAGTGTTTTCTTTGGGAGGGAATGGATAGTGTGTGTGTTAAGACTGACAAATTAAAAGCTTAAAATTCATTTAAACTTCAATCTTTTTTAAACCTTGCATTGGGCTGCAGTCCAAACCCTAATGTTTGTATTTCTTTGTTACTCCTTTTTTTTAATAGTTAAACTTTAAAATGTTGAACCACTGGACTTGTAATGTATTAATTTGTTAAACTGGGTTTTTAAATGTGCTGTTTGTCCACGTGTGCAACCTATCATTGTGCAAATAAAAACTGAATGCTGTGATCCTTGCAACAAGTATTTGCCTGTTTGCAGAATCCCCCCTATCACCAGAGTTCTTTGTATCACTTTGACAAGGCAGTAGTTTTTTTAAACAAGGCAATAATTGTCCTTTGTCAGCTGCATAAATAAGCAAAATATCTACCAGTATTGCATATGAAAAACAAAACAAAAAAAAATCAACTCATGTTTAGAACCATCGTTAGAGAACTGGTTCACATCAGTAACATAGCTGTTAAAATGTCCTTTTTGTAAGTGAAGAAAGGAAATAATGTATTTTGCAGTCAACGACAACTCGCAATTTTGAAAAGTTTATTTTTAGCCCCAAAAGATTATTGCAGCTTTCTGTTGTAGCTGTGCTTTCCATGGACCACCACAGCTGTAAATGTTTCTGCTTGTAATAAGTTCTCTAGTTCTCATTTGAAAAAAATTATCTAGTAGGATTGTAATATAAATAAATGTAATGCTTGGCTAAGGTGCTACAAATGTTGCCAACATATCAGCCAATAAGTAGTTGTACTTAAGTGTTGTTATATAAAATTTGAACATTCCAATTTTTTTTTTCCATTTCCATTCTCAACCAGGATGCCACGGCACCCTAGGGTGCCTTCAGATCCTTTCAGGAGTGCCTCAGGATGCTATACAATGGTAGTATTATTAGGTGTGCAAACATGATTTGCAATTTGCAAAATAAACCTAAAGATTTCAAATAAGAGTTCATCATGTTTAAAAACATTCTGACCTGTCATAGTCTGAGTTCTTTGCAACAGACTTGTTATATTATTTTCCTGTAGTCATAAAACAAGCAAAAACTAAGTGTTGACAATTTCCAGGGGGTGCCTTGAGTCTAAAAAGATTGAGACTGATCTGAAAATTAAGGCATTTGCCTTGACAGTAAATGCCCACTTTGTTTTTTTTTATAGTGTGTGTATTCCACACTCACCACAGTTTAAGAGCCAGCCTATCCTCTCTTCTAAAGCTCCAGTTCAAATCCTTTCCTTTTGTGAACTTGCCATACTCTATAGGCTCCAGTATGCTTTTGCAGCACAAAGCTAGAAGAATGTTAGTACTTCTGATTCTAAGGTTTGGGATGACATAGCCACGAGAAATGGTACTAGAACCTGAAAATTTATTTATTCCTCTCAGCCATACAGTGGTCAAATTAGATATCACCACCACAAATCCTTGTTACTATTAATTCTTTTTTTAATCCAACATAGGGTCACTCTTCTAAATTTAATACTTAATAAATGCTGTTTAGATGCTGAATTTTCCCTTACATTACAGAAGAGTATGGGTAAGCCAAATAAAATCTGATGTGCCAGAGGATTTGTAATGATACTTTGGAACTAGGATCTGGAACCAACTTCCAAGGGAAGTGGTGCTGGCTCCTACCCTGGGGGTCTTTAAGAGGAGGCTTGATGTTTACCTAGCCGGGGTCATTGGAGCCCAGTTTTCTCTCCTGCCCAGGGCAGGGGGTCAGACTTGAAGATCTACAAGGTCCCTTCTGACCCTACTTCTATGATTCTATGAAGTGTAGAATTATTTTAGCCATTATCTTTTATCTCAGCTACAGAAATGTTCAGTATAAATCATAGTTAAGTAACAAGAATTTATAGGAAGTTGGTTTCAGGACAAGGGCACACTGAATTAAAGCTTGGAATCTATGAAGACATGCATTTAGGCTCTCTAACAAGGTAAAAAACGGTAGTCTCCTGCCACCTAGTGAAAGCAGCATTCAGCAGCAAGGCAGTTGGAAGTCTGGGACACAGATGACATTAAGCAGCCCCAAAGGGCAGTATTGGTCACATTGGCTTCTGTCTTCAGGTAATTTGTATTGTTTCTTGAAGTAGTATTTGTAATACGGCAAAATCGTGTTTATTTATATTTACTATAAAATATTGGATCCATTTACTCAATGTCTTCCCCCCTGCCCCCAAATGCAATATTCAACCTTTCTAGTCTATCACAATTACACCAATGGGCTGAGAGAAAAAAATATTTGTGCAGTGTAATTTAAAATTGTGAGTGGTATTTTATAAAAGCCTTTTAAGTGAGTTACAGGTCTGGGCTTCTAGTATCTTGCTCTTGTATCACTTAGATGCTCTTTTTTGAAATGCAGCCTTCTCATTAAAACTTGGTTTATCATTAGGTAGCTTTAATAATGTTTTGAAAGACTGAACTCTAGGTTGCCTTTAGTGTGTTGGTTTTTATTATGTAAATCTAGTTTGACAGTATTAGCTTTTGGGTTGTGAGTGTTTTTTTTTCCCCTTCCCCTCAGGGATCAGTCTCTATCATGGTATGTAGCAGGGGTGCTCAACTTCTGGCCGGCAGGCCAAGTGCAGCCCACAAAGCCTTGGAATCTAGCCTGCAGGGCTCCCCAGGAGTCAGGAAATTTGGCAGCAGGGACAGTTAATACTGCCACCCTGCCAAAATCCCAAGCTTAAAGCAACAGGTTCGAGCTGGGCCACCACCCTCCCCTTTCATGGCCAGATTAGAACCAGGCTACTTCCCCATCCCTCTGCATGGCTGCGCTGGGGCCAGGCTCTGCCCTCTTCTCCCTACGGGGCTGGACCACACCCTTTCTCCTACCTGGAGAAAGGGCTGGGCCATACTTCCTCCCCGTGGGGTAGGACTGGGCCATGCCCACTTCCCTCCACCCTGTCCAGTTGAGGCCAGGCCATGCTCCCTTACTCCTGCATAGCCAGATGGGGCATCCTAGCAACCATTCTGGGTCCACCAGGCAGCTGTGGCCCATGGAGGAACTGGGCACTACCCATCCAGCCAAAAAGGTTGAGCACCACTGGGTTGTAGCATTAGCATTATGTATATCCCCATTAAGATAAATGAGAAACATGGGCAACTGATGCCTCCCTTGCCCCTCTCCCTGCCCCCTCCCCCCCCTGCAACCACTTGCACTGACCTGGAAGTGCCAGGGGTGTGCCTGGAAGTGCCAACAGCGTTTCTGGCACCCCCACTCCCTGGTGCCCAGTGGTACTCTCGGGGGGCACCAGCACTCCCACCTGCCTATTGCTTAAGCAGGGAACACTGGCTGTCAAAGGGTGCACCAGCACTCTCGGGGGTGCACATGTACCCCTATGCCCCCCCAAACATCGCCACTGATGAGAAACTTGCAGGGAAATTTTGACAGTAACCAGGGTTCTGGATACCTTAATGACAGACGAGCTACTGTTCTGATTAACTTCTAGGACTTGATCTCAGTCTGAATTATTTTCCTTTCTCTTTTCACCTCAGGTGTCAGAGTACAGCACTTACTTGGACAGCACAAGCACAGCAACATCCTAGAAAATAGTGAACTTGCATCCAAATTCCAGTTCTGATGAGGGCTATTATTTACCAACTGTACAAGAAACTGTGTACATTAGTGTCTGTATGTTTTAGTACAACACATTTGGGATAACAAGACCTGCCTTTGAGTTGATTATTCTTTACAGTTACTTATAAAAGCAAGGTAGGCTGCTTTAGATGTTGATGACCATAGTCTAGTATTAACACTGAATGAAGAGGGAAATAAGGTGTTGACAAATTTAAAAATCAAATCACTATTACATAAAAATACTGAGGAATAGTCTGTACCTTGCAGATCATTTGAACTGATATGTATATTGACTAAAAGTTACAAACCTAGGTGCTTGTAGGTAAGTAGGTCTTTAGCTCTAGTTAGGTACCTAAATCAAACCTGCCTGACTTCAGAGGTACCGAGTGCTTCGATCTGCTCAGTGTCTGAAACTCAAGTTACCTCTACTTCATTGTCTACCTTTAGAGCTAGGAATTTAATCTGACGCACTCAGGTTTGAAAGCGCTGGCCACTAAAGTCAACATCCAAACTCCTTTTACATTCTGCTGAGGGATCCTTATTAAAGCTGCTAAGGTTTCTAAGCATTGATCCACGTACTTTTTGTTTCCAATCCTTACCACAATAGACAGTATACCCATGGATGGATCCATATGAACAGCTACTCGCTGAACTCAAATGGATTAACAGCAGCTAAGTTTGGAGTTGGGGGATTGAAAGAGGGGGCCACAAGGGTCTGCTGTCTCGCATCCAGTTAAGGAGTCAGGGCTAGAGTACTTTTAACTTATTGTTCTGTTTTGAGGTAGTAAAGTCATTTTCAATAGCTATGTTTGATTTAGAACCAAAAGATTAGCAGCTACTGAAGTAAGAACAAAATGTGGTTGTCAGTAAAGTTGCAGATTGTCATTAAAAACATTTTCTTGAGTTGGCAGCCCTGTCACTAGTCCTGATGTCACTGGCTCCTGTACGCTATTTTTGTCTATTCATGAAATAAAGAAGTGCTACAGAAATTAGGCATGTTTTTACTTATCTGACTTATATCCCCTAATAAAATCAGCATTAGCCAATTAAACTGCATGAATTGGCAGTACCCAGGCCAACAGAGCTCAGTAGCTAATTAGCCATCCAGTAGATCAGTATGGGCAGTTATTTTGGCTGGAGGGCCACTTAATGAGTTTTAGGGGCCTGTCAAGGGCTTCATATCTCTCTCTCTCCCCGCCCTTCCACAGCCCGCTGAAGCTGTAGTTCACTACAGCATCCACTGTGGACAAAGCCAGCAGGTTTCCAGAGCCCTGCCATGGAACCTGCCACCGGTGTCCACAGCTGATGCTCACCTGGCGCAGCAACGGCTCCTGCCTGGATTCATAGCTGATGCCACCAGCAGGTTCTAGGCAGAAGCTTCCACCGCACTGGGTGGGTGGCAGCATCAGCTGTGGATGCTGCTGGCAGGTTTTGCATCTGGGTTTCTGAACCTACCAGTAGCTGCCCACCTGGTGCAGGAGAAGCCCCACCCACATCCACAGCTGATGCCTGAAGCTGCTGGGCAGAAGTAGTGCTGCCCACCCAGCACCAAGTGGCAGCTGAAGCCACTGGCCAGATCCAATTAGTTGGCAGCTGTCCACCCATGGACTGGATCAAATTTGTTAGCAGATCAGATCTAGCCTGCAGTCTGTATT